GGGGGTTGGAGATGTGACACCGTTTCTCTGAGGCGAAGGCTGCCGCGTCCCCTCGCAGGAGATGGCCTTGCGGTCCCTGGAGCCGGGACCGTCAGGAGTGGAGGGAGAGGGGAAAAAGAAAACGCAGTTCCCTCTGGCTGGGGCCGTGTCCGAGGGCGGAGGCCGGGAGACGGCCCGTGACGCTTTCTCTTCCAGGAGAGGCCAGGGCTTTGTGAAGAGGGGATGGAGTTAAGACGCTTTTCTAGCGGGAAGGGAGGGCAGTGTTGGGTGGGGGTAGGGTCAGAGAAGGAACTTTCGGCTCCAGTCTTGCGCGGGTGGGCAGAGTCCGAAGAGCCCGAGAAGGCATGGAGGGTTCTGAGGCCTGGTCCTTTCCCTGCCGGCAGAGGGAGTCCCGAAACGGACGGTCCAGAATCCCTCCCAAGAAAGGCGTTCGCATGGCCGCTCAACCAGTTTTGTACATCCCGGGTCTGAGTAAAAGCTGAGGTTATTAGACGCGAGCGACAGCTGCCTCGGCACCTTGGGCGCTTGGCGCCGAGATGGGAGCCCGACGGTCCGAATTCTCGCGAGAGCGGCCGCCGCCATTTTTCCATTGATTGCAGCGAGCTGGGGGAGGGGCCGACGACGACGGCGACGGCGACGGCGGCGGCGGCGGCGGAGCAGCAGCCGTGGGTCGGTGTCTGCGCGCTGGTGTCTGAGGCCCAGGTTGAGGCCTCCGCGGTTGCCGGAGCGCAGGCGGTAGAGAGGATGACTGCCGCTGCCGTTCTCTCCTGAGATAGAGAGCCGCCACCACCCTGCCCCCTCCCCCGGCAGGGCGGAGAGAAGCGGCGGAGTCTGAGCCATGGTGCCCGGCGAGGAGAACCAACTGGTCCCGAAAGAGGTGAGGGGCCAGCGGAGGAGGCTAGGCCCGAGGCCTGCGTCCGCTCGAGGCAGTGCAGGCCCGGGCGAGGGGTCGGCTGCGGGCCCAGCTCGTGTGCGGGCGCGGCTGTGGGGGAAGGAGGAGGTGTGTGGTAGGGGCTGTACGGTGGGTGCGGCGAGCAATTGGGAGACCCGACTGGATTAGGGGCCTGAGGGAGCCGAGACCTCCCCTCTCGGGTTTGTCGGGCTGGACGAATAAAGGAGCGGACTGGAAGGAATCAGGTCCAGCTTTGGGGGAGAAGGTGGCCTTTTAAATACTTATTTAACATGTTGAGCCAAGATAATTTCAAAGAAAAAATTCTGTAACAGTTATTGTCGGGCACGACAGGGTGACGGTGCTGCTTCTGGTTTGACAGTGGCAGTGTGTAGCTTTCAGGGCTTGTGAAACCTACACCCAACTTGAGATCTGTGGGAGGGCAGAGTTAACTGTTAAGACTTTTTTGAACTCCTGTTACTTGGTAATGCTGTTGGCCTGCCTAAATGGGGCCTACGGAAGATCGCTGAAAAAGTAAATGTGACTTTCACGTAAAGGTAAGAGATAGCTAAACATTACCATATGGAGAGCTGAACTACTTTTTGTAGTTGGGTTGTGTATGCTAGTTTGGGTGACTTCTTGAATTCTTAAAAGCGAGTGATTATGAGAAGCCTTGACTTCTTGGCTTCTCTTGAATAGTAGTAGAAGATTAATGGTAGAATACAGCGCTGGCCAGTGAATTTCAATATATTAATAGTATCCCTGTTGGCTTTATAAATATCTTCAGCGTATCCAAATGTGTATTTTTAACTGGTTGATCATCAGGCTAATGCTTTGGATTTTTATTTCTCATATACCTTAAATGAGGCAGTGTCCTGTTGAACTGTGTAGAATCTTGATGTTTATAAGTGATATTCATTAAAAATTCTTAATTATTTTTGCTTTTTTAGTTGCTTTGTAGCAATTTGTTGCTACTTAAGCAAGCTCTCACACTGCAGAAGTGATACTGGAGTTATGTAGCTATGATAAAATATTTTTTCTACATTATCAGATGGTAGTTGTTTTGCAAGGACAGGTTTTGTTTTTTTTTTTTTAAGCTTAGTTATCATGTGTCAGTATTTATTCATGGAGCATCACCAACTCTGTGCAAAGCAGATAAACAGATGAAATTAATCAGAGTTCTTGCCTTGGGAGCTTTCAGAGCTACTAAGAAGGAGAGTGCTGGTAATATTCGTTGAGCTTCATTTAAGGGAGAGGTATTTTACTACATAAGTAACTCTTATACAAGGACAGAAGTGATAGGTGCTGTAAGAAAGATAAACATGCATTTTCTTTTAGAGCTACATACTGCTGGTTTTCATTCTTACAAAAAGCAAAGTTAGTCCTTTCTTAATTTTTTGACCGTTAGAAAAATACAGTATAAGTGGAACTCTGCTTTAAGAAAATGCAACATCAGATTTATTTCCCTAATAATTTGATGTCTTAAAAAAAACCCATGATATGGATAGGCAGCTTTGCAGGGAAATATCGTTGTGTAAAAACCAATACTGTAATGCTGCTTTTACCTTTTGGATTTTAAAGATTAATTGCCTCTCTTTTAAGACTAACTCCCTTACCTGAGGCTTCAAGCACATCCCAACTTTTTTTCTTTTACGTTTTTGGGAACATATGCCTTTTTTTCCTATTCTCTAGATTGATCTTCAGGCTGTTCTTTTTCCCTGGCTCTTCTCATGGTTGCTGGAAGCATGCACAGTAGTCTCCAGTCTTGAAGACTTCACTTAAGTTTTTGCCCTTTTAGCTTGTTAACTAGTTCTTTCTTTTTTGATGGCCATACTCCTCTTCCTGAATCATTCTTACTTCTCTTCCTTGGGTTTTCTGTTGCATTTAATACTTAAAAAAAAAAAATCCTTGAGTTTAGTAATATTGTACTTTTTTGGTCTTTTTTCTACCTGTTTGTCTTACCTGCGTGCTCATTTAGTCAGTGTCTTTTCTGTGTCCTTAATTATCGCTTTGGTCTTTGTCATTCCCTGTCTTTTTAAGTTAAGTGCTAAAGGGAGAGTATAGTGATCATCTAGTAACTTAACCCTTTCCACTTTACAGATGAGGAAGATAGGGCCAGAGGATTGAAAGTGACTTGTTTAGGATCACATAATGAGTAAATGACAATGTAAGGACTGGAACTCACATCCCTTCACTATTCCTTGATTATACTGTATTTATTAGTTACCTCCATATAACCTGGAGGGTTTGTAACTAAGTACATTTACTATGTGAAAATAAATTGCAAAATTGAAACAAAAATTTGCTTCTGTTCTAATAGCTTATTATCAACAATCTAGAGGGTTTTGTTGTTGTTTTTTGTTTGTTTAGGAGCTTTGTATAGGGAACCCCTGACCCCTACTAGATTTAGATCTTAGTTAGGTGTGTGCATTCATGCATGTGTGTAGTTGTTGAATGAATAATATATTATTTTGGTCCCTGAAGCTCAAGGACAGATATATCTTAGAGGACTCCAAAGAAGGCCGCTTAGTGGGTACTATAGGTATTGGCAAACCCTGTGGGCCAAATCCAGCCTACTTGTAACCTGTTTTTGTATGGCCCATGAGTTAAGACTGACTTTTACATTTCCGAATTGTAAAAGATAAGTAGAATAATATTCCGTGATACATGAAAATTTTTGAAATTCAAATTTCAGTATTCATAAAAAAGGTTTTATTGGAACACAGCCATGCCCATTTATTTACTATTGTCTGTGGCTATAGCAGAGTTGAGTAGTTGCTACAGATGCTGTATACAGGATAAATTTGAAACTACTTAGCTTTGTATTCAAGGCCTAGTACAGTTGATTCTGGCCACAACCTTTTCAGCTTATCTCTTCTCCCATGAAACACGTTTTTAATGCAGCCAAATGGGTTTCTCTCTAACTTGCTTTTTACTTCTTTTTGTACTATCCCCTCTTTTTACTTCTCTGTTCAGAACCTTCATATACATTTTTCCATAAGTACCCCATACGTTGTTTATGCTAAAAATCTTTTTATGATCATTTTAACCTTAGGGATTTCTTTTTTTTTTAAAGATTTTATTTATTTATTTGACAGAGAGAGACACAGCGAGAGAGGGAACACAAACGGGGGCAGTGGGAGAGGGAGAAGCAGACCTCCCACAGAGCAGGGAGCCCGATGCGGGGCTCTCGATCCCAGGACCCTGGGATCATGACCTGAGCCAAAGGCAGATGCTTAACGACTGAGCTACCCAGGCGCCCCAGGGATTTCTCCTTCTTAGAAGACCTTTAATATGACTAGAATTCATTTGGTAATTAATAAGTAGTGCTTGGTGACATCTATTATGGTCTCAAACTGTAATACACATTTTATATATTATTTGTTATGAATTCCTTGGCAGCAGAGATCTTTGTTTCTCTCTCTTAGTTTTCTGTTTTTGTATACATAGGTCTAGGACAGTATCCTTTTTGGAGCAGATATTCAGTAATATTTATTACTGGGTGTGAAGAAACTTAGAATTCTAACCAATTATCCCCTACTTGATGTTTTCTGTAGCACAGTTCGTTGGCAAGCTGTTTTCTAACCCTTGCTTGAACACCTTCATGACTAATCTCTGATAACATCTTTGCCTTAGAAGAGATCTGTTATTTTAAGTTTTTGAGTTGAGAGAAGTCTAGACCTCTGTACCCACCATCTTTTGATAATTGCCTGGGACAACAGAGAAATCTTAAATCATTCCCCATAGGACAGCTTTTTTTTTCTTTTTAAAGATTTTATTTATTTATTAGAGAGAGAGAGAGAGAGCGAGAGAGGGAACACAAGCAGGGGGAGAGGGAGAGGGAGAAGCAGGCTTCTCGCTGAGCAGGGAGCCCAATGCGGGGCTCGATCCCAGGACCCTGGGATCATGAACTGAGCCGAAGGCAGCCGCTTAACGACGGAGCCACCCAGGCACCCAGGACAGCTTTTTCTTATTGTTGAAAATGGGAGAAGGGAGTAGGAGGGCCAACCCCCTCTGTTCTACAATCTGAGGATCCTTAGTTCTTTACTTGTTTTTCAGTTGCTCTCTTTTAGACACAATCCACTGTTTTTAGTATTCCTCCTAAATTGTTATACCCAGAGAAGAGCAAAGGGAGTGTGGTCTGTTCATTGTGGTTAACAGCAAGGCTTTTCACCTCACTTTTTCATCCTACTCTATGTCTTTGAATTGTATTGATATTGGCTTTCAGATCTCTTGTTTTTACTGTCATCCCAATTTTTATTTATTGCTTTGTTGTTTTTATTCTCTTTATAAAGATTTGTGACACTAATATTTATTGAGTCTTCACTGTACATATTACTGTCCTCCGCCATGTAAGGAACATTTTGAGGAAATAGCAAAAGTTCTTTCTTCCCTCAAGTATCTTAGAGTATAATTAAGGATAAGGTAAGGTATATATCTTATGGTTTTAAAATAGTACTTAAAGTGATGTCCAAAGGATATATAAATGTAGAGAAGATGGAAAAATAGAAGAAAAGACAAAAGAGTTTCATATCTCATGTTTCTTTCTGCCTCTTTTCCATGCATTAAACAGTTTCCACATGAAACTAATGGTGATGAGAGTAATAACCAATATTTATTAAGCATTTATTATATGTCACATACTGTTATATGTGCTTCATGTATATTAACTCATTTGAGCTTCACAGTGACCTCACAAGTATGTAAAGACCATTGATGTTGAGAACTCCCAAAACATTAAAGTAACTTGTTTTTTTATCTCTATTGTCTGTTTTTTAATAAAATCCATTAGTATTTATTATGGTCCATATCAAATGAATATTCTTTTAATTTTATGTCTCCTAATTAAATTATTTGAGGAAATGTGCTGCAATGGTCTGTCTTGTTTTTGGTCATTCTTTAAAAATCAGCCTTTAAAAAAAATTGTGGTGTTGATTCTCTTTTACCAGTAAGAGGCAAGTATGGCAGTTATGTCAGTAATACTCATC